CCCCCCGGCCTCCCGCGTGTGACAGTTCAGTCGCAAGCTGCAAGGAAAACAACTGCAAGTTGCATGAGAAAGTATTTCCTTCTTGCTGCCGTTTCACACGTTAACATCGCCGCATTCCCTCCTGCAATTTTACGACGATGCAGGGGGCATCCACGCTTTCTCGCAGATCCCGAGGACGGCACTTTCTTTCCCCCCCCCCCCCCCCCCCCCCTTCCTTTCCCAGGCCCTTTTCCCATCGCTCTCTGGACCTCTCCTCTCTAACAACACCCAGCTGCTCTTCAACTGGCCCGTGGGATTTCCTGAAGCTGCGAGCGGCCCCTTTGCTACCTGCCACGGGGCTGCAAGAAAACATAAGCCAGGTCAGGCCTTCCTCCCGGTCTTGCCACTTGACTTTTCCACCCCCAAAGTGGCATTTGTCATTCAGCGCAAGCATCGGAAGTGTTTAATCTGCACAGCTCCTTCAATTGGACAGTTTTGAGAGAGGCCATCATTTCTGTGTGTGCTGCACCTATCCAAGATCCCTCTTAGCTCCCGACAAGCCAAAGGGGAAAACTTAGTCGTAGCAAAGTTAGAAAATTTGACTACAAATTTGAAAACGACAAAAGTAACAAAAACCCCCAACAAAATAAAATGCCACAATGCTAAAATGTACCAACATCGGTCCCTGCTTCAATGACCCTCCAAGTTTTCCTGAAGCATCCCTCCTCTGTGAAAGCAAACAGGACAAACCCGATTAATAGAATCCTCATTTCCAAACGGGACATCACCCCCTTCCTCCTGGGTCTGTCTGGGGATTTTCTAACCACTGTGGAATTAAAGTGGAGCTCTCAAAATGTGTCTCAAAAAAATCCACTTGTTTTTCCCCCCCCCCTCACTTCGCTGCAGCCAGGGCTCAGGGGTGCCGTGCCTGTAGCAGTTCCAAGGGAAAAAAAAACTCCGTGGCCCTAAGGCACCGGCCCCCGAGAAAGCTGGAGGGACCCCCGCAGCACAACTTCTTTGTAGGTTTTCCTGTTTTATAGGAAGTTCAATAAAAGGCCTCCCTCAGCTGATGCAGTCGTGGCTTTCAAATCACACCAAAAAGTTCTTTTTCTCATGGTTCAAGGGTCGTTCCCTCGCCAGCTCTTTGCACGTCTCGGGGCAACACAAGCAAAGAGCTCCCGTGCGGGGCTCGTGCAGCCTCGCTCCGTCCCAGCCCTCCCACGTGCGTCGTGCCGGGAGCTTCTGCCACCTCCGGTAAGACGGGGCGCAAGGCAGTCCCCCTTCCTCACAGTCCCCTTTCGCTCGGTGCCCTCCCACCGCATTTGCCTTTCTCATTTTTTATTTTTTTTTTTTATTCTTTTCTGGCCACAGAGGCGGAGCGAGCAGAAGCACTCATGAGGATAGCTGTGACTATGCCCCGCTCTCTTTTTTGACCCATCGGCATAGGCTCTATCACTTACAGCTGCCGAGGCGTATGACATCATCGCCTGCGTTTTATAGCAAAACACCAAATTTCCCTTCTCATCATCGCTTCCATAATTTTGGCTCCAGTTTCTCTGCAGCTCTTCAAAGTCCTCTTTGGACCAGAGTCAACCTAAATAACATGTAAATAATTAATCTTTTAAATAAATAACATGCCATCTGCAAATAGCGACTCACTCGGCACGCGGGTTAAGAAATACGTTAAATAACCCAGAACGGCGTACAAAACTTTGAGCCGGCTGCTGCCGACCTTTTTTGGGGAAGAAAAGCAGCTACCGGCATTTCTAGGAGCAGGAGGATTACAGCTCCATCAACTCTGTCCTGCTGCTGCACACACAGGAGGGGAAGACAGTCCCCGAGCCCTGTCAGCTTTTTATTTAAAACAGAAGAAATAAAGCATAGAGCAATGGAAAAAGGGAAAGCTGTACTGGTCAGGGGGATCAGCAGCAAACACCACACGGAGCAAAAGGCTTCGGAGCCTACGCTTCGTCTCCTCCCAGCCCATTTCCATCCTCCACCCAGGCTCCAGCTGGCTCAAGGCACCAGTGGGAACAGCCCCATAAACTGGTGGGTCCTGGGGGGCCAGGGGCATTATTTGCCATAAAGATTCGGGAACAGCCCAATGAAAAAAAAAAAAAAAAAAAATTGCAGTTAGTGGGAATACAATAGGAAAATTAACTTCCAAGTATGGAATGCTGAGAGAAAACCAAGAGGGATGATCCAAGGCACCAAATGTCTTCTGCAGAGGCGCTGAGCCAGGAGAGACGCCACTGAGGAGGTGGGCGTGATCGATCTCTTGAAGCTGCACCAAACCCGTGGTGAAAGCACACGAAGAGCGATTTTTCAGTGCCTTTTCCAGCCAAAAAACCAACCTGTGGACACCAAATTAACCCGGTGGCAGCAGGAGCCTGCAGGGCCTGGAAGTTTAACCGGGTTCAGAACACAATTTGATAAAATTCATGGGAGAGACATCTCCAGGAGCGTGTTGGATACCAAAGTGGGTGCTGCGGCTCAGGCTGCCGCTGCCGGAGGTTGGGGTTGAAAAAAAAAGTCCATAGGGTCCACCGGTGGTTAAAGACAGCGCTTGGGCCGCAGACATGGGTGAAAAAGCCCGCGCGTACCCGCACGTCCATTCCCAGGGGCAGGCAGAGCGGGGAGGCGCCTGCACGGAGGTTTTGTTCCAAAAAAAAAAACCCAAAACCAAACCAACAAACCCCCGCTTGCACCATCAGCAGATGGCACTGCG